ACGGAGTTAATAATGCCTTCGCCTTAGTGTAGTGAGAATTCATTTTCTGTTTATTTTTACTGTATATGAAAGCTTCCAGCACAGTGCCTGGAACAAAGATACTTAACAGATGTCAATTTATCCATGACTATTTTAAGGAGGGGCACTGATTGGCAATGACAGCATTTAAAATGCTGAAAATTCTTGGAAGCCATGGCACTGGTACAAGATGGGAAATGCTCAGCAAAGCTACTCTCTTTACATTTTAATGAAAGGTATTCTTGGTCATTCCTCTCCAAGGTACAAAATATTGGCAAGAAAAACTTCAACTAAACCCTCTTAGAACCTTGCAAGTATGTCTCATAAAGCACATGTTACCTTACATGGCAAAAGGGAATTTGCAAGCCAATTGCCGTCCTCAGAGATTATCCTGTTCTCCTTTCTCCTTGACGTCATTTCAGTGCCTGCTAGAATCTCTAGGACAAAAGTCTCAAGGTGAGAAAAACTGAAAGCCAAGTCAAACATTTTCAGTTTTCAAACATCTCTGCTTAAAAGTTAATGGGAGAGGGGCTGGGTGAATATTGCCTCAGGAGACTGTAAATTTTGATGCCGGATGATTTTGTGATGGAACCTCTCCCACCCTCAGTTCATCCCCATCAAGTTACTTCCTTTTGTTACTTGAAGATTTTAGCTCCTGGCTCTCTAAGGGCAGTCATTCTCTCCAAAGCTACCGTTTTTATAACTGTTGATTTTAATATTCACTGTAAGTGACCGTTCCAGTACCCCACCCTCCCCGTGGCTTTCTTCCAATCCTCCTGCCTCCGCCCTGCTTCGGCCACTGACTCCCATGGCCACACCTTGTATTCGTCTGCTAGGGCTGCCATGACAAAAGAGGTGACAAGCGATAGAAATGTATCTTCTCACAGTAATAGAAGCTGGAAGTCCAAGATCAAGACATGGGCAGGCTTGGTTCCTCCCGAGACCTCTCTCCTGGGCTCACACGTGGCTGTCTTCCTGCTGGGTCCTCACATGGTCTTTTCTCTGAGACACCTGGTACCTCTCTGTGTGTTCACATTTCTTTTTCTTGTAAGGACACCAATCAGACAGTTTTAGGGCTCACTCTACCAAAATTATTTTAACTAAGCCTGTATCTCCAAATGTAGTCACATTCTGAAGTTACAGGACATCAACATATGAAATGACAAGGGAACACAATTCAGCCCAGAACACACCTCTAGACTTTGTCTTCACCACTTACTGAGACACCTTAATCTCAAATTCCAGCATCCTGCTTCTCATCCCCTACCTTCCATCTTTCCATCTCTTTCTCTTTCTGCTACCTCAAACCAACAATTCTTCAACCACATTGTTTTTCCGTTGTCTTTGCTGTTCTTTTGGGGGGACAGTAATTAGGTTTATTTGTTTTGTGGAGGTGCTGGGGATTGAACCCAGGACCTTGTGCACACTGGGCAGGTGCTCTACCACTGAGCTATGCCCTCCCCTCTGCAACCACACTGGGACACACAAGCTACAAATCCAACCTCCCTCCTTTTTTTTTTTTAAACTCTCCCTCACATTCTGTCAGATGTTTACTTCCCTCCTTACTTGGATTAAGGTCCACTGTTCATCATTATATGTTTTTGATTCCTTTGCCTCTTTTTCGTTATGATATTTGTTTGACAAAATCCCAGTCCTGGTTGATTCCAGCTTTCTTAACACCCTCTGCCCAAATCTCTACAAGAGACCTGCACTGGGAAAAGCACTTAATGAGTCTAGACTTGTGCCTAGTCTCGCTATAAATTTATGACATCAAGTGGGCTCTTAGTGCCTGCCAGCTTCTGTCACATTTCTCTAGACCTTTCACCATCCTAGGCAACTGTTCCCTACCATCTCCTTTCTCTCCAAACCTGTAACACCCTCTCCCCATCTTCATTCTCAGCTGATAACCTGCTTCCTGTTTCACGGAGAAAACAGAAGTAATCAGAAGTTCCCACACCTCCAATCCCGTAGGCTCCGTCTTCCTTCTGTTACTCAGACTGAGCTGCGCATTCAAAGGCCAGATCCTCCATCTGTGCACATGCGCCCACCACTTCCCGTTTACTCAAGAGCATTACTCCAGCAAGTCTCCCCTCTCCCTTATATTGTCCAGTCCCACTTCCCCTCCTCCCACCCCCCCTCCTCCCACCCCTCAACAAGAACATTCCCATTAGTATATAAATGTGATAAAGTTTTTCCCATTAAATTAAGTTCCCCTTGACTCCCACTTTCCGTCCAGCTAAACTCTCCGAAAGGGTTACCTCTTCTCTCTGTCTCCAATTCCTCTTTTCTCATTCTCTTATGAACCCATTCCATGGACTCGAGTCTATCCCATCACCAAAGCTTCCTGTGTCAAGGTCATTGTGACCTCCAGAGTGCTAAATCTGACAGCCATTTCTCAGTCCTCCCATATGACTTGCCCTATAGGCAGCCTTTCACTCGGTTGATCACGTCTTCCTCAACTAGAAACTCAACTTCCAGGAGAAGCTCCTGGTTTTTCTTCTAACTCATGGGCCACTTCTCAGTCTTCTTTGCTGGCACCCCCTCAGGTTCCTGAACTCTATCCACTGGGCTGCCCAGGACCTTGTCCTTGGGCCTCTTTCCTGCCTACACTCATTCCCATAATGTTTCATGCCTTTCAATACCATCTATACACAGACACCTCTCATACACTCCATCCCAGACCTCTTCTCTGCCCTTTGTATTTGTGTGTCCAACAGCCTAACTGGCATCTCCACTTGGATTTCTAATAAGTGTCTCCAAACTTGGGATGTTGGAAACTGACCACCTCCTCTCCCCTCCCAAACTTGCTCAGCCTGCTCTTTGGCTCATTCAGTCAATGACAACTTTGTTCTTCCAGTTGCTCAGGTCTCAAGCTGCGGAGTCATCTTTGACACACCCCTTTCTCTTGTATCCAACTTGTCACCAAATACTGTTGACTCTATCTTTAAAATGTGTACAGAACCCCGCCTTTTCTCACCATCTCTGCTACTACTATCATGGTCTGAGTCACTGTCACCCGCAGGAAGGGTGCATTGTTGAAATGGGTTTAGAATTCATGTCCTTTCTTTCACCCACATCCTTTACAACCTATTCACGATACAGCAGCCAGAGTGAGCCTTTGAACATAACGTTTTTCTACCCAAACTAATCTCGGATACTGCTGTACTCCCCCTCCCTCTCTTGGCTCCAGCCACCGTGGTCTCCTCACTGGGGTTCTCTTCTACCTCAGGGCTTTTGCACACTCACTGTTCTCACTTCCTAAACTGGTTTGCCCCATGTTCTCTGCATGGCTCACACCCTCTACTTCCTGCAGATCTTTGCTCAAATGTCACCTTCTCAGTAAGCTCTTCCCTGACCTCCCTGTTTGAAATGACACCCCCATCTCCATCCACATCCTCTGGTGCTCCTACCTGTCCTCACCTAACTTATTTTAGCCGCACTTACCACTACCTGATAAGCTATCTATTTTACTGATATGTATTCTTTTCTTATTAGTCTCCCCTGTAGTAGAATGCCAGCCCCAAGAGAGCAAGGATTTTAGACTGTCTTGTTCACTGATCTCTCTGCCCGGCTCTCAGGGACAGTGCCTGGCACATAGGAGGTGCTCAGTAAATATTCAGCCAAAGAGGTTGTTACTCTTCCTGTTTTCCCCAAAGTTCTAGTGAATGCGATTTTAGGCTTTGCTTCTATAACGCTGGGAGAAAAAAAAATCTAATGGCCAGATTTTGCTCAAAGACACTAGAGAAAAAAAAATTGTCACAACCACTAGGGGGTGCCAAGAAACCTCTTTGGAACTGATCACAGTTTAAGACTACTAGTTTCTAGGTTAGTTTTGTTTAAATCCAACTGTGGCTCCAAGTATCTCAATTTTTCAGAAAGTGTAAGTACAAAAAAATTAAAAAATGTTTGTTATAAAAGTAAGTTTTTATTTTCTTGACTTAAAAGCAGGTATGTTATAGAGTATTAATGCTTTCTGGAGGATAATGACAAATCAAATATAAATAAATCTGGGATCAAGATTTCAAGGTACAAAACTCTTTGGTACAGAGAGGAATAAACAAGCAGGCTTTCCTTCTGATCTCTGTACTATTTTTGACAATTATGTTCCTACAACTGCAATTTTATTGCTAGTCACAGCTTTCATATCTTGCCTGGTCCTTCTCTATCACTTGACTTTGTGTTTTGCATACATAATCTGTTTAACCCACACATTATCCTTGTGGAGAAGATATCATTTTTAAATTCCCATTTCATCACTGAGAAAATTGAGACTAAGTCAAGCAGAGTTCTGGTAGAAAGGGTGCAAAGAGTTCAGGCACTCCTTGAATTCCTTACTGCCACCGCCTACATTATCTTTACCACATTAGTGCCAAGATGCCTTCCCATAATCTTCGTCTATGTCATCATAATTAGAGGGGATCTGTGACTCTTTAAATTTAGGGCAATAATTCGGAAGGGAAAATTCCTAAATCCTTATTTCAAACTTATTACGCATCAAATCTTAATCAAATTACCCAGCTTACTTACCCCTTTTCCTAGGTAGTAAGAGATACGAATTTTTTCCTGTTATTATTTTCCAGACAGATAGAGATAATAGATGTAAACTCTTAAGAGGAAAACTCTTCCGGTCTTGTCGCAATGAACTCATCAACTGTGATGACTTGTTTATCTCACCTGTCTGTCCGTTTCTTTGTTCTTTTTGTGCCCCCTGCAGTTTGAACAATGTTTGGTGAGTAGTAAGCATGAAATAAAGAACGCTGAATAAAAGATCGATACATAAAGTCAGAATATTTGAGCGAACCCTGCACAACGTGCTCTTGTGTGAGATCCCCTGGTAGTTTCCTCATTAACCCCCGTCCAGGCTTGGATGAAATTTGCCAGGCTCAGTTCCAACCCCGACCCCAACTTCCTTCTTAAAACATGTTCAGAGTTCAATCTTCAGTGCTCTCATCCAGAGGAAAATGACTTATTTTAAAAAGCAGTAAGAGCACCGCATTCCTTTGGCACAGGATGAAGACCAGCTCAGCTCTTGGGCCGTTTGTCTATTGTTCTCCAAACAGTAAACCACTATTTCCACACCGAGAGACCGCGGGGGGCAGTTCTGTCCAAGCCCTGGGCTCCTCCTGAATATGAACTGAAGGGTGACCCAGAAAAGGGTAGGTGAACTCGGGGAGGTGGTGCGGGGGGGCTGTGTGGGGAGACAGGTAGGGAAGAAAACCAAAATAGGCTTCATGTAATTCTACACTCTTGAAATCTCCTGCAGGTTCTGAGCAGGGTAAAATGGGGTCTCGGAAATGTGGAGGCTGCCTGAGTTGTCTGCTGATTCCGCTTGCACTTTGGAGTATAATTGTGAACATACTATTGTATTTCCCGAATGGGCAAACTTCCTATGCATCCAGCAATAAACTCACCAACTACGTGTGGTATTTTGAAGGAATCTGTTTCTCAGGTATCATGGTAAGTGTGACTTCGGAGACTTGGGATGGGAAAAGGGGAATTTTTACTAAGAATTAACCTGTTCCTAGTAAAAATAATGAATGATGGGGAAATCACTCTACTAATCCTGGGTTTGGGGATAGGAAGATGGGTGAGGGTAGAAAGGCAGGTAGTCCATTAGGACTTGGGGAGTAGCTTTGTTTTCTGTAAGCCGCACATTTATGGAGCTCCAGCAATGCAGGAAATTAGTGCTAATGAGAGTCTGTGGGACACTGACCTATAGACATATCATGTCCTCATGTAACCTGTGTATCAACATATGCTACTTAATCTCCAGTGGCATTGCTCTTTTCCAGAACGGATTTTCTATCTGCATTCAGAATTCCTCTAGCTTGGAGCGAGTATTAAGACAGCGGAAAAAGCAGACTCGAAGATTCAGACAAACTTGAATTCAAGTCTAAGCTCTGTCATTTATATCATGAGACCTTAAGCAAGTTACTCAAAGTCTTTGGGCCTCAGTGTCCTCATTTGAAAAATGTGAACAGTGACATTTACTTTTCAGCGAAATTGTGGGGATCAAATGAACTCTCATGTACGAAGTGTCTGGGACGGACTGACATGTAGTAGGTAGCCAGTGATTACTGTGATGAGAAATACTGATTGAAAGATGGGCCACATTATCATTAAATAGTCTGACATTTTACCCCTAATAGTGGAGAGTATTTTTGAAAACTAAATCAAAGTTAACACAGTAAGAATCCAGGAATGTTTTCCAGATGACTTTGCGCTCTTTAAAAACAAACTGATAGTAAATCATGTTGGCAGCTCAGAGGAAAAGACACTTTTCCTGATCATATCAGTTCTAAAAAAAAAAAACAAGACCAAAACAAAACCCATTATGCCCTGTAAGCTTATTCTACCACCAATAATGTAAAGGAAAAGCCATTATAATCTCTCTCTAGATCTTTGTGGGTGTTTAGTTATTATAATATTTGAATAGTTTTGTTGGAAAGCAGTTTCATTTAGTTGCCATTTTGCAGATTAAATCTGCAAACTTTAGAATATTAACACCCAGTGTTGCTGAAGGTACTATGGAATAGATACATAATGGGTGGTGGTGGTGGTGGTACTGTGAATAAATGTAAGGTTTTTTTGGAGGAAATTTTGATATGATAGAGTAAGATTCATGAAAATGCTTATGCCTTTTGACCCTGTAATCCTAAATCTGAGGATTCATTGTGAAGAAATAATCCAAAATAAGGAGAGAAACGTGTACATAACTGTTTGTGGCAGCGTTATTTATAGTAGCAGAAAGCTAGAGTCATCCTAGCATAAAAATGGCCAAAAAAATGATGGTGCACTCACTTCATAGCTGATGAAGATTGTGGTGTGAACAGGTAGCCACATGGAAAATGCCTGTTATTTTGTGTTAATGAAAAAGAGAAGTAACAGAATGGTGAAGGAACTATGATCACAACTATGGAAAATACACGCATGTGGGAAAACCCTGGGAGTAAATATCTAAAACCATGGGAGGGTGATGGAATTGGGGGTAATTTTCCTCCATTATCCTTGAGCCCTCTGGGTTGCAGTTTTGTTTTACAACAAAAGCAGTTTCTCTTTCAGCACAGGCCACGTGTGTGCTTCTCCTTTGACACAGCACTCTCGGGTGTAGATCTAATCATTTCTACCAATATTGTGAGAAAGCCAGCGACTGCCCCTGGCCTGCCGGGCCCTGGCTTCTCATCTCCCCTCAGCATGTGATGTAATAAGCGGCAGGTTTGCAAGGCTTTAGTATGATTAAATCAGAATCTATTAAAAACTGTGATAACTAATGGTGTTGAGAGGAGGGGAATCTAGGACCCTTTTGCCTGTATTCCATGTAAAACTTAGAACTGTGAGAAGAAGCTGTTCTCTATCTTTCACTGTCTAGGAGTTCTTGAAAAATATCCTTTCAAGATCAAATCATTCAAGAGAAAGGAGAGGAATATAGGTAAATGATTAAAGGGCTAGATAACTAAATGACAGCTGAAGGAATTTAGAAACTGGGATGTTCACTACAAACATTGTTCCTACTAACAATGAACTCAACTTCAGGACTCAGTACTGAACAGGAGGGCTGGAAGACAGGTGGAGAATCTGCCAGAAGCAATGCATGGTCCATACCTGCCCAAACCAGGGACTGTAACAGTAGAGGAACCCATGTTCTCTCCGGGACTGGAACCCTTTGCTTAAGATACCAAGAAAGGGAAGTAAACACATTGAATTCTCCCAGTTTGTTGGCATGATACAGATCAAGCACACTGTGACTGTGAAAATCTGACTGTGAGATGATTTGAATGCATGGGGAAACTGAATTTACTTTACTTTGGATTAAGAGATTTAGTTTCAGATAAACTGTACCTTTCATCTGCATTCCCAGAGGGCAGTTAGGGGAGAGAGGCTGACAAACAGCAAAGTCTGGTGAATGATTTTCCTTTGTCCTCCACAACTGTGTCAGTGAGCTGTGGGGATTTGCTGCCAAGAGTGGTAGTTTCATGTCCAAACCATTCACTCCTCTTTCATCATTAGATTTTAACATCTGATAACCATGATATTAATAGATACCATTTCTCAATCTTTTATTATGAATCAAGCACTATATTCAACATTTTACATAGAATGCCTCAGAGCAACCTCAGGAGGTGAGTTCTCAGTACCATTTTTAAAGGAAAGGATTCTGGAGTTCACCCAGCTAGAAAGTGGCAGATCTGGGATTCGAACCCAGATCTACCTGATTCCAGAGTCTACACTCTGATTATGAGCATGAATGCAAACCAGTATTCTATTTCTGATACTTTCTCTCTTCCCTGCTGTAGATGCTCATAGTAGCTGCAGTTCTTCTTGTCCTGGAGAGCGATAACAACTATAAATGTTGCCAGAGTGAAAACTGCAGCAAAAAGTACATGGTAAGAGCAATGTTATTTTGAGGATGGTGGAGTGGGCTCCGGCTTGCTTTGTTCTCACTCTGAAACATGAACATACTGATGCTACTGTACCCTCTCCATGATCCTTCCAGTTTAGAGCCCAAGAGTTAACTCCAAAATTTATCTTCCACTTTGTTTACACTTTGTCTTCCACTTTTGTTAGGCTGACATTCTTCTAGAAATTCAGGACTGAAAGATGCATGAAATTAGACAATAATACTACCTTTTCCTAACTAGGTTTCTGTGAGTCTATTTTTTCCCTTGTCAACTTTATTGAGGGCTAATTTACACAGAATAAATGGTCTCTATTAAAAGGGTACAATTCCATGAGTTTTGAGAGATAACACTCCCTATGAAACCACCATCATAATCAAGATACAGAACATTTTCCATCACCCTGAAAGGTTAATTTTGGGTCTACTTTTTGTCATTATAGATTAGTTTGTATTCTATATAAATAGAAGCATGTAGTATTTGTCTTCCGTATCTGACTTCTTTCACACAGCATCAGGTTTATTCCTGTGTTGGGCATATGTGATATCCATTTTTTTAAACTGGAACTTTAAAAATAATAAAAATAGAATCAAGAGAGAATAATACAGCCAAATTTTCTAACCCTGTGTTCAACAGGTAGGCACTGGGCTCCAAATGTCCACCATTACCCATCTCTTCCTTGTCACAGTCATCATCATTTATTCATATTCGCATAACACTTTATATTTCTTTCAGATTTACCCAGTGAATTAGATCATTGTTACTCCTGTTTTATAGATGAGTCACCTGTGACTCAAAGAGAATATGATTCATTAACTAGGAAGAGCTTTACCAGAGGTCTGGGAGGCGTCCTTTGCAGTGGTGGTTCTACACATTGGCTGCACACTGCAATCATCTGGGAGCTTGGCTCAGAATCCCACCCCTCGAGACCCTGACTTAGTTGGCCCAAGGTGCTACTGGATTTTAACATGCATCCAATATGGTATGGCCTACTTTCTTTATCTGATGCCTCTGGAAGATTAAGTTAGCTATCTAATTTAGCACTGTGCCCCTACTTTGAAAGCGCCAAGCAGAGAATCCTGAGGCTCCTCTCTCCCTTCCTCCTGCTCTTCCCGCTGAGATGCTAGTCATCTCTTCCAAAAAAGGACACTATGACCTCATCTACAAAACAGAAACAGACCGGCAGACATGGTAAACAATCTTATGGTTACCAAGGAAAGGGGATGAGAAGGGACAAATTTGGAAGTTTAAGATTTGCAAATGTTAGCCACTATATATAAAAATAAACTAAAAAAAAAGTTTCTTCTATATAGCACAGGGAACTATACTCAATACCTTGTAATAACTTTTAATGAAACAGAATATGAAAATGAATATGTATATGTATGTATATGCATGACTGGGACATTGTGCTGTACACCAGAAATTGATACATTGTAATTGACTGTACTTCAATTTAAAAAAAAAGAAAAAAACATATGAATTTTATTGACTATTTCCATATACACGGGAGCCTTCACAAAAGAATGAAGACACCAAAATGTGACCAGAGCAGTAAGCATTCATACCCTTTAGACGAAGAAACAACAGATTTGTAAAGAATCATCAAGTCAGAGGGGTTTGGGCTAAGAGTAGTAAATGGTGAAGAAGTAACTAGGAAGGTAAGATTTTGGGTTTTTTTTTGTTTGAGGTGGGGTAATAGATTTTTGTTTTTTATTTCTTTTTAAATGGAGGTATTAGGGATTGAACCCAGGACCTCATGCTTGCTAAGCATGCATAAGATTTTATTTAACAATGTTTATTTACACAGATTTCTTGGCCCCAAATTCCCAGTCTCTGGTGATAAGCATGTCTTCCTTCCTCCTGGTGCAGAGAGCACCTTTCACATGGAAGTTTTATGACCTGTTTCAAAAAACAAGGATGAGAGGGTGGGGGAGCGCAGAGTCACCTTCCTGCTTCTGCGGTTTCCTCAAACTCCTTCAGCTTAAGATACTAATACGTCAAGTCCCCATATTGGAGCAGAGTGACCCGAACCCCGTCAATCTTATGGCTGCTATCCATTCCTCCCCAGAGTCTCATCTTCTGCCAACATTCTATGGGCTGTTATCCCTGGAAAACAAAAATTGGCCAAATAGGGGTATTTGAAATAATAGATATTTTGATTATACTGTATTACATTTCAAATAACTTTTATATCCACTGTGTCCTTTAATTTTTGAAACAGCCCTGTGAGATGGATGCTATAACCACCTACATCATCTACATCTTACAGAAAAATGAAACTGACTCAGAGAGATTCTTATTCCTACTCTATTTTGAGGCTTATCTCGGTTGTGCAATTATATTCACTCATTAGACTGTTACTGTTTATGTGCATGTACGTATATATTGTGCTATGGTTGCCTACTTCCCCAGATAAAGAGATTCTTCCCTGATCTTTCCAGTGATCAGGTTAAGGGTACATTTAGTGAACAAGGAGCTCTGCCTTCTGAAAACAACCCTCCTCCTTTTTCAAAGACGGCATTGGTGAATAGATAAATTTTTTTAAAGAAGTATAACTAACAGAAACCTACTATAAAAAAAAGTAGCTCTATTTATCTCATACCATGATGAGACAAAACTCTATTAAAATAAATATGGGAAATATAATTTGAAAGAGCTTTTAATCATAGGTGAAGTTGCCAGTGAAATCATTAATATCAAATAGGAAAAAAGCATGGTGGTTCTTTTCTTCTTTGAGTTTTTAAAAATTTTTTTCTGATTTTCCATAATGATCATGTATTAGTGTTACATTCATAAAATAATTCTAAACAAAGAAATACAATTTCAGACAATGTTTGTTCCAAAAGTCACAAGTTTTTTTGTTCTCCCTTTTTCTGGCCTCGGCTTTTGAATTTATCATCAGCTAGTAGGGCACACTTCTGTCCGGTGGTTCTGTTCTCACCTGAAATCAACATTTCTAAAACTAAATTAAATTTTCTCCCCAGTCAAGCTACCCTCCCTGGCATCCCTATTTCTGTTTCCCTTTCATTCAAGTTCCAAACTCTGGAATTTCTTTTATTCAGTCCATCTCCTGCTACTCGTTTCCTCCTCAATGTCTTTTGTCCAGCACGTGTCTCTGTCATCACAACTCGGAGTTTTCTCCACATGGAATTCTTACTTTGGGGCCCTCTCACTTCTGGCTGGTGTGCCACCACTGCCAGAGCAATTTTTCAAAATCATTTATTTGTTCATGTCACTTCCTTGCTCAAAAACTAATTCCATGGCTTGTTGGAAAAAGAGCTGTTCCAGGCCTAGGGCAGCATAAATTCAAAATGAGCTTGGGAAATCTTGTGCCAGGAAGCAAGGAAGTCTTCAAAGAATGATAGGTTATGTCAAAGGGCACAGCCACCGACTTGAAGGGGTGCGCCCACTGGCCATATTGAGCCCATTTGACCATCTTAAAGAATAATAGTAATCATGAGTTATAACACATTGAATTAGAAAATCCATGAGTCCACAATAATACAGAAAGTGAGAGGCAGGGGAGAGAAACAGGAAGTGGACGTTCTGTGCTGAAACAATCATAACTTACAAATGCAGGAGAAATCATGCAATTAGAAGGGCAGCACATTACAACCACTTACATCGATAATTCGTGATCATTGAGTATGACGCTCATCAGCAGACGCTAAATCCATCAGTTGAAATGTCTTTAGGGAACAAGATATGAGACAGCCTCAAAGCATTACCTCACAAATCATTTCCCAATGGCTAAGTGGAAAATGAACATTTATAAATCTGAAGGACACCACCCTAACCAAGAGATCAAACTTAGCATCATCGGTAATAGTGAGAGGCCCATAATGTACCCATACCAATCATGTGTTCTTGCCAAAACATTTAACCCAAGTCCAACTGTGAGGAGACAATCAGAAAAGCCCAGAAAATGGGACATTCTACAAGACAGCTGTCTGGGAGTCTTCAAAAACAATTTAATATTCTGAAAAACAAAAAAGGCAGCAAGACAAGTATGGATTAAAGGAAACTAAAGGGATGTAACCTTGTGCATAAACCTTCTTTGGATGCTGTATAAAAAAGTGAAAAACAGCCGCAGAATAATAGAATACCTTTCTTCTTGGGAGGTATGTACGGATATGCTAACAGGTTGAGACAACACAATGTCTGCTACCTACTTTCAGATGGTTAAGCAACAAAAACGTAAATAAATAAATGTGTATACAGATGTAGATATACAAAGGAAGGGACAGAGAGAGAGCAAAGCAAAAATGGTCAAATAGTCACAAAAGCTGAGTCTACGTAAAGGGTCCTCTATTTTCAACTTTTTTGTTTTTTTGAAAAAAATGTAATAAAAGGTTGCTGCGGGGAAGAGCCACTTGCCCTGAAGGATGAAGTCCAGCCTCCTTAATTCAACATCCAAGGTCATCTTCTGCCCTGATGCACCAAGCCACACTCACTTTATATGTGACTAAAGGGCTGGCATGTGGTTTCCCAGCGCAAGCACCATGCCAATCTGGTCATCATCAACTCCTCTCCTTCACTGCTCTGTAGAATTCCCCTCTTAGATCAGATCAATCTACTTACTCCCCCAACTCAGCTTGTACTGATCTGCCTGTGAACATTGCTCGTTCTCTCTCCTCAAATGAAAACACCCTCCTCCCCATCAACCCCCTTCCTCACTTGAGGATAAATATGACCATCTGGGCTGACACCTGGTATTTCCCCTCATAGTCCTGTGTGTGAATATATTCAAAGATCGTCTTCGTAAGAGCAAAGCAGGGATCGTAGCTTGTGATTCGCAGAGAACCCACCGTACCTAGAAAATACCCTCTTCAATAAATACGTACAGATTCATTGAACACATCCCTTCCCTGCATTTATGTCTGACATGATCATTTTTTTATATCACCATTCCAGAACAAACAGGAAGAAGTTTGGTAAATTATGAATTTCCTGTATGAAATGCCAAAAGAGGGGTGGAAAAAGCCTCTAAAACCCTATTTTTAAGATCAGGTGGATTTGGATTAAACATTTCCATTTTGATGTGGACGTCTGGCATAGCACAGACTGCAGTAGGCATGCACGAGCAGGGGAAGGGGCCTATCTGAGCATTTATCCACAGTATCCCTTTGTCTCATTCCACGGCGCTAACCTCCTTCTATGTTTAATTTAGGCACTGCTGTCGATGATCTTTTCTGCCCTTGGAATTGCTTTCTCTGGATACTGCCTGGGCATATCTGCTTTGGGCCTTCTTCAGGGCCCTTACTGCCGCACTCTCGAGGGCTGGGGGTATGCCTTTGAAGGCACCGCAGGACGGTAAGGGCTAACCCCCCAAATCAAGGAGGTCGGAAAGTCAGAAACACCTGGCTTCATGCTCCTACTCATTTTCCACCACCACCCTGGGGCTCTGTGAGGCTGGGGCTGCTCTGCGTGCAGAATTTTCCTATTAGTTTCCTAATATCCCGACCAGTTTGTTCCTACACAGATCTTTGTGTAGGTGTTTCTCTCTCCAGTCGTTTACCGTCTTATGCATTCACTGTTCTGAGGCTGTCCCGGAGATGTCCAAATGCAAGGCATGTTCCTCCCACCCTGAAGAGCGGGGCTTCATGGTTATCATGGTCTGGCAACTGCTGGGTTTGGGACCTGAGTGGTTCTGGAGAGCCAGTCTTATTTTGTGGCCAGGGTTGACATGTCTGTTACAGACGTGAGAGGGCTCGGCTGGCAGAGAGTCACAGTGCCCTGGGATGGTGCCACCCGCGGCTGTACCATCAGGGGTTACAAGGAGAAGAAGCAGGCAGGTGAGCAGCAAAGTGCAGTCTGAGATCCAGGGACACGAGTATGTGCAGGAGGTTGTGGAAGGAGCCAGGAGCTTATCGAGCTTGTACTGAAGGAGCGTCCAAGGGTCGCCTTGCTCAGAAGGCTGGTAGCTCAGTCAGATGCTGAGGGACCCAGTCCAGCATCACAGAGTGCCTCACACTGGCACTGTGCTTGGCTTATGGGCCTTTCAGCTTGGGAGGTGGCAGCGCCCAGACAGAGGTACGGGAGAGGGTCACCGAATCGCACCCTGCCTTGCCCTGCGCTCAGAACTCTAATGGAGTGAAATGAGGGCATGTCCATACCATTCCGTGGGGAGGTTACATTTCTGAGTGCTTGGAGGAGACACTCCTTTGGGACTGAAGGGGCTCAGGAAAGGGGACCCTAACGTAAAAAGTCCTAACGGGTGCAAAAAATTGTTTTCTGCCTTCAGCCCCTCTACTTTTCCTCACCGCCAAACCAAAGAATATTCCCCTCTCAAAGCAAGAATCTCAGGCTGCCCACATTCCTCCTTTAAAGTTGCCCTTGATATTTGCATTCACCCGATTCCAGTTGTGTAAAAATGTTAGGAGGTGAAACAGTGAAACAAACGTGTTCCCCTGAAGGGAAGCTAAATCTCTGGTCTCCAAGGGAAGTTCCCAAGGCCTGGTGAAGGCTGGGTGGAGCCAGTGTTAATGGGGAACAAATCAGCTGTTCATTTATTCAACAAATATTTATTAAGCTCCTACCATGTCCAAGTCTTAGATCAGGAGCTAGAGAGTCAAAGATAAACTACACAGGTTCGCTTCCCTAGAGGAACCCACACAGACCTAACAGAACCTTCTGCTGAGATGGAGGCCATGGAAGGAACACTGCCCTTGGAGCACAGCGCATCCCATAGGGTTCAAGTCTCCCATCTCCTACTTACAAACGATATGGCCTTAGACAAATACCTGGATATCTCTGAGCCTCTGTAAACTGGAGATAATAATTATTTCTACCCCGACAGAACTGAAAATTAAACAGAAGTAAAGAACAAATTAGATTTAATAAATTCTCCACATGCCAAATTTTATCGTCATCATTACTTTCCATAGCCTTCTATACTGCATTGATGTCTTCCGTCTGCGAGGCGGCCAGCAAGTCCAGCCATTGGCATGCTGACCATTGAGGGTCCTGAATCAGTTTCATTCAACAAGCATTTGTTGACCTTTGAAATGCGCCAGGCACTGCCTTAGGCCTTAGACGTGGCCATTCAGAGATGGATGAATCACAATAGTGCTCTCACGGTGCACAGTTTAGTGAGGAAATAGATATGCAGATACAGCTAAAGATAGAATTTTAACAGTCAATACTGTGATAGAACTGTGTGCAGAGATTGTGGAGAATGTATATCAGAGCAGACTTCTCTATTCCTTCCAGACCCTGCCAGTGCCCTTATGACTCATTCTATTTATACAAGAATAAATAGGACCCCTACCCTGGGAGAAAAATAGAAACCTTGCAAATCATCTTTCTTTAAAGCGTGGACAATGTATGCAGAGCATATACTGGGAACAGTCTAGAGCAAGGGTCTTGAAGGGATTCCTTGGTGGCAGAGACTGAGTTAGGAGTAGGAGGGTGTCTGAGATGGGTCTAGGGAACTGGTAAGAGGAAATTACATTCATACTGTGCTTTATACGTCCTGAAGCATTTTGCATACCTCTCACCGAATATTCACAACAATCCTAGGGTTAGATATTTTAAGCCCATTGTCCAGACAAGATTCTAGAGGTCAAAGATGTCAAGTCCCTGGCCCAAGATCCTACAGATCCAAGAGTTCTGTCTCCACAGTCAGCGCTTTTGACCACTTGAGACTTAAGGACTGTTAGCAATATTGAGAAACTCTCTGAGTGCCTCTGAATGTCCTAGAGCACAGAGAGCAGGAAATAAAGAAAGGGATGGAAGAGAGTTACAGGAAGGGAATAGGAGAGAAATGGAGGGGGGAGACAGAAAAAAGAGAGAGAAGAAAGAAGACATGGTGGTGGTGGTGACCAAAAGGCAGAGCTCACCCCTTTCAGCCACAAGCGCCAGTACCCAGGGCCACTTGGCCAATACCAAGGTTGCCTGAATTGCTGTTTTGAGAAAAAAAAACCATCTTGCTACTAACACGATATTAATAAACAACTCTGCCCTGTAACTAGGTTTGATTTTTTGTTTGTTTGTTTGGGGGATTTTTTTTTTTTTTTGAGAAGACCGGTTTTTATTTCAGTTTAGTTGGACAGAGAGAGTGTCACGCTTGGAGAAATGCTAATGGCCATGGCTGACCTGGAAGTGACCAAAAGTCAGTCAGGATGACTCAGAGTGGTTTTAAGATTATCTTCAAAGCCGAAGTGATTTAATCCTCACAGTCCTGTACTAACCTAGACGGACTGAACCATTCAATCTTTTGTGTTTCCACTGCATTATCTAAATCTCCTTCAGAGCTGCAGAACAGCAGCTGTCTAAAGCAGTGGTCCTCACACTGTAGACCCCAGACCGGCAGCACCAGCATCACTTTAGAAACTGAAGGTTTCCAGCCCCATCCAGACCTTCTGAATCAAACTCTGAGCTAGGGCGCAGCAATCTGCATTTTCACAAACCTTCCAGAGAATCTTGACATAGGCGCAAATTTGAGAGCCACTGTTTTAAAGGGCTTTGGGACAGAGTCTAAGAATAACTAGCATCATTTCTCTCTGCTCTTTTACCACCTGTGTGATTTTATATCCACGCCAGCTCAGCCCTGTCCCTGACAGCCCAGGCTAACTTCTGTGCTCCTTGGAGATGGGCAACCTCTGCCTCCCTTGGTATTGACATGTGCTGCCTTTCATTGTTTTGAACTCTTCAGTATGCATCTTGCCTCTTAAATGAATTAGAATTGTCTGAGGCAGGCACCATGTTCATAATTAGCATAGCCTAGAGCAGTGCATACTAGGTGTTCAACGTATGTATCTGAGTAATTCTTATATATTATATCATACTTAATAATGTTATATATTTTAATCATATATATTAATTTCCCAAACATATGAATATTCATGACCTTCTTCCTTGGACCCAGTCTTTGGGTTTGGCTATGGCCACGTGTCAGTTGATTATTTCCTTCCTCTCTCTCAGTTTCCTTACAGATTCCAGCATATGGATCCAGTGCCTGGAACCTGCACATATAGTGGAGTGGAACATCATTTTATTTTCCATTCTCATAGCTCTCAGTGGGCTTCAGGTGATTGTCTGCCTCATCAGAGTAGTCATGCAGTTATCCAGGATGCTGTGTGGAACCTATTCAGTCATCATACAGGTAACAGACCCTCACTGGCACCTGTACCTCCTCCATTTACCCCCACTGTCCAGGATTCAGTGAGTGTTATTGAAAGGTTTTTAGAATTTCATCATTTTCTCTCCATTCTTACTGCCTTCATGCAGCCTCTAATACCTCAGTTTTTTTTTTTTCTAATATTCCAATGTGTCTGTTGGCTTGTCTCTAGGGATTAAACCAATGGAATAATTGTAAAATTTCATTCTGTGTTGTATGGTGAAAGCACTACCAGTGTTTTGAATGAGCAACATTTCAGTGTTCTATGTAGAAATAACCCAAAGCTCAAAGAGAATTTATTGAGAATTTCCCTAATCATAAAATAATTGAAGGCTCACAACCCAAACCCACTGAAATAATTTCTCTTTTGAATGCTGCTACATTCAATTAATAATCCTTTTTTTATATTAAGACATTAGTGACTGGTTTTGGAGAAATATGTCTTTCCTGGTAGTTTCAAACAGATATTTTCCTGTTCTATCCTGTTTTGAATATGAACTATAAGTTTGAGTTGCTACATGGATTATGGATCATTAATCAAGTCAAGTTTACTCACTTTGTTTTTCTTTTCTTTTTTTTTAATAGCCTGGAATCATTTGATTAAGGACAGGAATATTTTTCTTTATCAAGATATGGCCATCTGCCTATGTCTACTGTATAGACTTGAAGACAATATTCAAATGAGGATATTTTCTCCAGCTGTTTATTGTCCTCACTGGAAATGCCAATTATGTGACCCTTCCGTTTAGAATTTTTTCCTAAGCTATATGTGTCAAGATCTTCAGAAATGTTCATACCTTCTGATCAAACAAATTCAATTTCAATCATCTAAACTATGAAAATAAATAAGAATACAAACTATAACTTTATGCAAATACACATATTTGAACATTATTTAATATTCTGGAAAATTATAAATACCCCAAAACTCTAACTTTTAGGCAAAAGATTAAATAAAGTGTGGTACATTAGTTATAATATTGTGCAGGCATTACAAATGATATTTTAAAGATTATGACTATTGCTATATGAAAAAGCAGATTACAAATTTATGTTTACAATATAAGCATAATTATCTAAAACAAAAACAAACCAACAAACAAAACCAAATAATCAAAATATAGACCTGGAGATCATCATTCTAAGTGAAGTAAGCCAGAAAGAGAAAGAAAAATGTCATTTGATATCGCTTATGTGGAATCTTAAAAAAAGGACAAACAAGCTTATCTATAAAACAGAAACAGACCCCCAGACACAGAGAATAAATTTATGGTTACCAGGGAGTAAAGTGGGAAGGGATAAACTGGGAATTCAAAAATTGCACTTCTTGGGAAGTGATGAAAATGTTAGCTATCTTGATTGTGGAAGTGGTTTCATGGGTGTATACATCTATCAAAATTCATCAAATTGTACATCTGAAATATGTGTAGTTTACTGTACAGGAACCATACCACAATAAAGGCATTAAAAATTTAAAAAGAAAGAACGAATGAATGAACAAAAGAAAGAAAGAAAAGAAAGGAAGGAAGGATATACGATTAAAAACTAAACCTAGAAGGATTTACACAAAAAATGTAAACTGTGTTTGATTTGGGTCATGGGTGATCCTTCTTCCTTTTCTACATTTTCCAAGTTTTCTTTATTATGTTTTACTATTAAAATACTTTTTAAAAATTCATATTTTTGCTATTAAAATTTTTACTATTTTTCCCAACTTTAAAGGCATATGCTTTTCCCACATAAACATGTGGAAACATGTTTCCAACCTTGACGATCTGTAAACGTCACAGAATAGCACCTTAATCAGTGTTCAAAGAGGAAAGTAGTGAGGTAGATAAGCCACAAAAAAGTTTTATATGAACTTATATAATCTAACTGAACTCTTGACATTATTTTCTCACTCCTGGTGATGAGTGTGGTGGTCTACAAGACATAGACTTGAAATAAATGAGCAGTTGAGGACATACTCAATGGGTTAGAGAGAGTGATCATTGACCAGTTGATACCTGTGTTTTGGGGGGTTACCACTACCTCTATTTATTGAAAAAAATTTTTTTAAGTAAAATGTTTATAAATTTTCTACCTATACTTACCATGGCCTCCTGGAGGACAGCAGCCATGTCTTATATTTTGTCATCATCCACAGGACCTAGCACAAAGTGAGCATAAGAGACATTCAACGTTCTACATTGATGCCAGGCACTCTGCTCTCTGTGGCTGCTCTGCTGAGCACCTGTCTCCATCATGGGCCCACTGGACCCTAACCCTTCTGCCACTTCCCCACTACTCTCCTCCGCAGACACAGTCAACAGAGTTCTACCAATGCCTGCTCTGTGCTAAAGCTGGGCAGTAGTACCAGTAGTCTGGAAAATGCCTCTTTCTTTTGGTACCTCCTTTAAGGGAAGCGGCCCTATCCCCAGCCTTTGCTGAATCAAGCATCTTGAAAGCAAGCCATGCTGGGTACCGCATGACCCCCATGCTCAGTACCTAGCTGACAGAACTGGGACCAGCATCCAAGCCATGGGCAATCTATTGTCACTCCAGTGGCCAGTGATTTAGCCTGAAGTGAAACACTTTCCAAATAAGATTGGTGGTTATTCTTGCTTGAAAATTTGAATTATGAAGCTGTAAATGAAGCAATGCAGACATTGCTGTTGGCAACATGATTAAAGGATGAGGAGGAAAACTAACATACAGAGAGTATCTGATTACTCTATCAAGCACATAAACTTACCATATCCAGCATCCTCTTTGTTTACTTCTCTCAAAGACTCCTCAGTCCTCTTGTAAATGAACTTCTGGCAAGTTGATCCCACCAGTTTGTCATTAAGACTATCTCAGTCGTGTTTAAATTCAATTTGGTACCACACATTGAGTGGACTACAAATAGATGTCAGCTGAATGACTCTACCACAGAATTGGAAACTTGTTTAACCACAAGACCACAGACAAACTCAGTACAGTGTATCTATCTGAAAATCAAATATTAACACAGCCACCCAAATATTTGTATTTAAAGAATGCATGCTTATGATGCAATTTTAAGTAAAAAAGTTGGATACAAATCTCAATGTGCAATTTGAACCCCAAATTTTAAATAACCATACAATTACATGTAGACATGTACAAATCTTCAGATACATAGAAAAAAGACTAGAAAAATAACTAAATATTCATAATTATCTCCTAATGATGAGAGTATATTTCTTTTTTTACATTGTTCTATATTTTCAAATTTTCCTTTGAAAAGTCATTACTTGAAGAATTAGAAAAAACAAATTAGAATAAATAAATTCATTGAATAAAATTCATGTAAGGAGCTTAAAACAAGAAAGAACTAGACATGAAGCTAGTGATAGTCCTTTTTCTTACCATTTGTAGAAGATACTCTTTCCATTTTTTAAGTCTCACAGAGATTGAGTATTGCTAACTAATCCTAATTGAGATTGATTTCTGTTTTGTTCATTTATGCCCTTATATTTATTATTTCTCTCTTATTTTCCTTGCTTCTTTCTCATTTTACTTTTCTTTTCCTGGCTTCTTAAATTGAATGCCTAGCTTATTAATTTTCAAGCTTTCTTCTTTTCTTAAAATAAGTATTTGAGACTATGGTTGTCCCCTCTTACCTGCAGGAGACATGTTCCAAGACTCCCAATGAAGGCCTGAAACCACGGGTAGTACTGAACCTACACACACTGTTTTTTCCTGTACATATAAACTTATGATAAAGTTTAATTTACAAATTAGGCACAGTAAGTGATTAACAACAATGCCGAATAATAAAATAGAACAATCATAACAATATATTGTAATAAAAGTTACGTGAATGTGATCTCTCTCTCAAAATATCTTACTGTATTATACTCACCCTTCTGCAGCTGCTTGTGATAATATGAGATAATAAAATGCCCACATGATGCAGTGAGGTGAATGATGAAGGGACTATGATGCAGACCACATGTCAGAAGGAGCATCATCTGTCTCCCGTTACCCTGGATCCTTGAGCTGTGATAATGTCATTGACAATTGGATGTCAGGAGCGGACGGTGTCAATGGCTGGGGATCCCCAGAGAAACAGAGCAGGACAGAGTGCAATTTCTCCATACTGTTCAGAAGGTGTGCAATTTAAAACTTCTTTCACTGAAGTTTTGAATTTTCCATATCAATATTTGAATGGAAATTTCCATTTAATATTTTCACACCTCAGCTGCCTGCAGGTAACTGAAACCACAGATAAGAAGGGGACTGACTACTCTATGCATTTTTTAAAGTACCACTTTGGCTGCATCTCACAAGTTTTAAAATGTCTTTAGCTTGTTATTCAGTTATAAATATTTTCTGCTTTTATTTATGATTTATTTTTCAAACTATGAATGTGCTTCAAAATTCCCAAATATATGAGTTTTGGGGTTTTTTTGGGTTTCCACTTTATATATGTTTTGATCATAGAATGTGGTACATATGATTCAGACTTCAGATCTGAAGTCTGAACATATTTAAGACTTGTTTTATGACTAATATTCATGTATGTTCTATGTACTTAAAGATTATGTTTTCTTCAAATATTGGGTGTAGGATTTTTAGGCGTGTCCATGAGGTCAAAATATTAATTTTGTTGCTCAGATCTTCAATATCTTTATGTTGTTATTCTTTGCTTAATCTAGGGATTCCATGAGGATTAAATGAGTGTATATGTACACTAACTTATATTTATTTATATATTATATAGATAATTTTATATTATATAATATAGATTTATATGTAAATTTATATTACATATATAAAGTGTTTGGCACATGGATGAGATCTATAAGTGGTCTAAACATAGTGGTATAAAGATGGACTCTGGAGTCAAATTGCTCAGATTCATTCTGGGCTCTTCTTTATTAGCTGGGAGACCCTGGTCAAGTTTACTCAACCTCTCAGTGCCTCAGTTTCTGAATCTGTAAAATAGGAATAATCATAGAGTTCTGGGGAAGATTAAGTGAGTTAGTACGTATAAATTTCTTAGAATCATGGTGACAAATTTGAATCCAGGTGCAGTTGGAGCAGATTTGAAATGGCTGGACTTGGTAATGCAACAAAAACAGCAGAAGGGGAAGGGGATGGAAGGAAGTCACAAGGTCAGAGGGACAGCACAGGGTCAGGAGTTTGGGGAGAGAATGCAGGCAAAGGTAAGAGGTGGGCATCGCTAGCCCGGATAAAGCGCAGAAGAGGCCAGCACCTCCTTTCATCACACGCCCGGAGACTGGGAACATAATAGCCATCATACTCAGGTTCTGAAACACCTGCATCTCACTGAAAAGTTTCAAGGAACAGGGGCAATTCAAGGTCACTGTTATGAAAAACACTTCTTATATTCAGAAAGACTCTTGCCACTTTCTGTTTCTTGCTTTGTCAGATGAAGCTGGGAATCGGGGACAAAAGTCCAGTCCTGGCAGGAAACCAAGGCAAAGAGTCAAGCTTGAGGGTGTGTCATTGGGCAGGGGAAGAAGTTACACAAACCTGGCCACCAGGTTAGAGTCAACTCGTGCCTGACCCAAGGAACACAAACAATTCAAATTAAATGGTTTATCTGGGTTAATATGAAAACACACACGTGCATACAAGTGTACATACGTACACATACATGCACGCATCTAATTTCACTGCTGCCTAAAATCACATTACATTTACAATAAAAGTTTTTTTAAGAAAAATATGGGGAAATCAGGTGAGGAGGCAACAGCAATAAAATTTTGGAAGCTATGAAACATACTGATGAGGTGTAACTCACAAAAACAACTCAAGAAATAAGAAAATCCTAAGCTATCACTGGGGGAAACTGAGGAAGCCTGATTTATACCTCGGAGTTCTCAAAAGTCTCTCAAATGGATAGCACTGGATTCCTCTGGAACTGGGAGTATAGGAAGACCACTGAGACAAGAAGGATTGGGTGAGTCCCTGTATCTCTTCTCTCTGTGCCACTGAGAAGCAGCAGAAGTCTGAAAGTTCATCCTCTGGAAAGGGTAAAATGGCGAGTCTCTGAATTGGAGAGACTCAGATTCACCAAAGATACAACTACTGCACCAAAACCAGAGAGATTAAGTGACTGGTCCATCTTGAACGACGAATGCTAGGGCACACTCACCCCCAAGCCCTCTCTACCCACTTGGATGTCTGAATGCTGGCGGCCAGAACTTTACTTTCCA